GACTTACGTGCATGTAGTTCAATATTGCTATTGGTTGTTGCAGCTAAATGTGTCTTCAACAATGATTTTTTTATTCGACAGTCGTGTGGAATGTTAATTGGGCCTCAAGAATTTTCTCTCTAGTGTTTTTAAATCGTTGTTCCCTGAATTCATTTAAATATGATTAAGAAAACGAACGAAATTTGAAATAAGATTTGTAATAATTTGAAACAATAAAGCTTCATATATCAGCGACGTAATTATATGCCACTATTCCCATGATCTTCCGCTTTTGCATATATATTTAAAAGTAGCGCCATTTCAGACGAGTGGCGCCTCTACTGGAAAAAGATCTAAGCTCCGATCGAGGTCCGTACAGCGCCAATTAGTCCGGTGGCAAAACGCTCAAACTGTTAGCCAAAACAGAACTTCCAGATTTCGCCGCAAGTGGCGCCACTGTTTGGCTAACAGTTTGAGCGTTTTGCCACCGGACTAATTGGCGCTGTACGGACCCCGAACGGAGCTTCGAAAATCTGCCGCGAGCGGCGCCACTCGTTTCGAATGGCGCTATTTTTATATATTCAAGAACAAATGATGCCTGTCAGACTTTACATCGTATTTTATCGGAATTGCGGTACGAATCATCTACCGTGTTTATTTGCAATAATAAATAAACCTTTTTGCACGATATCCGATACAGAAAATGCTCCTAAATAGTTTTTTACCTTCAAAATATTTGTTTGTCCTCAGAATCGACGGATTTCGTGGTATTTTTCCGGAAATTATTGTTTATTCAATATTATCAGCAATAAATAGACTTCCTATTGCGTGACATACATGCAGGGAAGTATCTTGGACATTTATGTAACGATTCAAATACGATGGAATTTCGATTATCTATCGTTCCTGGAACCGAGATAGTGCCGCGTATTTAAATACATATGTACATACGTATATCGAATAGATGAAATAATTTCGTTCATCCTAATAATTACCTTCATGCAACACGCTAATAAACGTACGCTATTCAAGAGTACTATACGATCATCTGGTCTATGACAATAATGTCCAGATAATCGAAAGTATTTAAGCCGCTGAATGAAACTTCGATTCGAAGTAGCTGTAATATTTAATCAAATAATTCAATTCTCGTTGTCAAACGAAACAAACTGTACGCGCTTTCATTGCGACGGACTTGTTCTCCGTGATGAATTCTTTTCTCAGTTTATGAAGGAATGGTTGGCCACAAATTAATAACGCACGGAACGGCAGTCATGACATTTTCCTTTACGTCGAGGTGCCTACGGAAATCCAATATCGAGATTAATCACGTGCAATCGAGCAGGTCGACCTAAATACCGTGGTGTCATTCGGATCAGAATAGAGGCGTGTATATAATATTGTGCAGAGAACATTTATCAACCTAAGTATTCATTCTGATGTCAACAACGGTCTCACGCGTCACGATGAAATCTTCTCGCGACGAAACGAGAGACAAGTTTGTCCGGAAAAATTCGTTA